CCTCTACGTTGAGTTTCCGCGCTTTGATCACCCCATCGTCTGGTCCGATCATGAGTATCCAGCCCCTCCAATGTCGTCCTACTCCCAAGGTGCGCCTGCAAATGCAAATCCCGCCTTAAAACCCATACCGGAAGTTCGCTTTGGTCCGGGAATAGAGGGCGCGGATGGTGGCGGAGTCATCAGAATATACGACCCTGAAGTTGGTCAAACCGGTAATCCATGTGAAGACAAGCATCGGAGACTGATCCGTAGCCATCGGACGGGCATCATGGATCGTGATTTGAAACCAAATCCCAAGATTCGTGATGAACTCAACGTAATACTGTCATACGAGCCCACGCAGGATCTCACCGCTGAGGAGAAAGACCTTATTTGGCGATTCCGATACTACCTAACCCGTGAGAAGAGAGCGCTCACTAAATTTGTCAAGTCGGTCAACTGGAGAGACGTTGGTGAAGCGCATCAAGCCGTCGAGATACTGCCCAAATGGACCGAAATCGATGTAGACGATGCTCTTGAGTTGCTTGGACCGACTTTCGATAATCCTGCAGTTCGTTCATATGCAGTTGAAAGACTACGCAAGGCGGACGATGAAGAGCTACTTCTTTACCTGCTACAACTTGTACAGGCTCTGAAATATGAAGAACACTCTCACGGTGATGTTGATGACGCCGCCCACGATTCGTCTTTGGCCAACTTCCTTATAGCCCGCGCTGCGAACAATTTCAAATTGGGCAACTACCTACATTGGTACCTTATGGTTGAATGCGATGATGCAGGGCCAGGAACATTGTCAGCACAACGTAGACTCTTCGCACGCGTGGAATACTACTTCATGGCAGAGCTCGAGAAAGTCCACCCGGAGCATCGCAAGACCCTCCTGCGCCAAGGGGAACTGGTCACTATACTCACAAAGATCGCCAAAGACGTCCGGTTCTCGCGCGAGAACCGAGTCCTCAAGATCGAACGACTTAAGCAGTGCCTCAAGGACCCGAAGAACGACATGCTACACATCGACCCTCCACTACCACTGCCCCTGGACCCGGAGATCCAGGTCACCGGGTGCTACCCGGACGAAGCAAACGTCTTCAAATCCTCCCTTTCCCCTCTCCAAGTCATGTTTAAGACCTCCGACGGACGAAAATTCCCCATCCTCTTCAAGATTGGCGACGACCTCCGCCAAGACCAACTCGTCATCCAAATCATCATCCTAATGGACCGACTCCTCCAAAAGGAGAACCTCGACCTCAAACTCACCCCCTACCGTATCCTAGCCACCAACTCCACCGCCGGCGCCGTCCAATTCATTCCCTCGGCCTCCCTGTCCGCCATCTCCGCCAAATACAAATCCGTTCTCGCCTATCTCAAAGCCAACAACCCAGACGACAGTGAACCCCTCGGCGTTCGCAAAGAAACAATGGACACCTATATCAAATCTTGCGCCGGCTACTGCGTAATCACCTACCTCCTCGGCGTCGGCGACCGCCACCTCGAGAACCTCCTCCTCGCCCCCGACGGCCACTTCTTCCACGCCGACTTCGGCTTCATCCTCGGCCGAGACCCCAAGCCGTTCGCACCCATGATGAAACTCTGCAAGGAGATGGTCGAGGGCATGGGCGGAACTACCTCCCCCTTGTATCTCCAGTTCAAGCAGTATTGCTTCACGGCGTATACCACGCTGCGCAAATCGGCGAACCTCATCCTTAACCTGTTCAGTCTGATGGTCGATGCGAATATTCCTGATATCCGGGTCGAGCCCGATAAGGCTGTCTTGAAGGTCAAGGAGAGGTTCCATCTGGAAATGTCGGAGGAAGAGGCTATTCGACATTTCGAGCAGCTTATTAGCGATAGTGTTAATGCTATCTTTGGGGTTGTGATTGATCGGTTGCATGAGTTTGTGCAGGGGTGGAGGGCTTAGGTGGCTGGCATTTTTAGCGGATTCCTAGCTCATTCTGCTGTTTCGTCAAAGGGGAAGGAGTTTTATGGCGCATACCACCGAATGAATGGTTCACTGATGAATTGATTGATACCCTGCCTTTGAAGCGGTGGCCTTGTCTATGATAATGATAACTTAATATATTGATAGATCTATAGACATTTTCCGTCCCTCATTGTATCTGTACTTTTATATCCACTAACCATCTCATCGTAACCACCCTCTAAACCATAGTGTAATATTCACTTCTCCCCATGATGTCGTGACGGACCTCCAGCCTCCTCATCATCATTACGACCACAAACCCCCAACTCAACCCACTCATTCCCAGTCCCATCATTCCCACGTCTATCTCCGAGATCACCTCCCCCCAAGTCAACTCCCTGGCTTATCCGCATATCCTCAGTCACGGCAGTATCAGAACCAGACTGATCATGCGAAGCAAAAGCCCCTCCGGTCTGTCCATGTTCACTGCGCAATTTCGCCTCGGCGTCTTCGTCATCCTCCGGTGTCCCCTCTTTACATGCCCATGCGTCTACGAACCTCAGGACCTCGCGGGGCCACCAGCGCTTCATGACAAGAAGACGGAAGGGGACTAGCAGGACGATGAGCACGGGGAATGCGGGGGCGCCACGGGTGAGGGTGAGGATGAAGATGGCTACGGTTATGATGATTTGGAGGATGGTATAGAGGTGAATAGGGATGTAGGACGGTGTTGGTGGCTCTTCTTCGGAAGTGGTTGGTTGTTGTTGTTGTGGGGCAAGAGATGGTGGGAGGGGAGGGAGCTCGGAGGGTGGTGTGAGGAGGTAGAAGGTTCGGTAGAGGATTGGGCTGGTGTTGTTAGTGGGGTTGATTCTTATAGTGTGGTATGGATAGTGAACTGCTTACTTGACTGATAGGCTCTGCTCGCCCATGAACATGAATAGCCCTGCTAGGACGCTCGTTGGGGTCAATCCGAGCACTTTCATGAAGGGCGGGCTGACGAAGAGGAGGATGACGGCTGAGTGGAGGAATGCTGACCAGCGCTGTTCGTAGACGCGCTTCACTTCGTATGTTTCGAGCTTTTCTTCTCCGTCGACTGTGATTGTGCGCTGCTCCTTTTCTGTGTGCATCAGGGATTCGGAGTGGAGAGGGGCTTGGGGGAGAAGTCCGTTGGCAGGGGGAATTCCTAGAATGCCGCATAGTGCTGTTGTGGTGCCCAGGAGGACGATGTCCCAAGCGAAGCCTCCTGGTTTCCTGGTGCCGTAGCGATCAATGGTGCAGATAATTGAGCTGACTTCGTGATCGAAGAAAAAGAGCACGGTGATGATTATTCCGGGAAGGATGGCGGCGAACACCCAGGATACAGGGAGATGCCAGAACTCGACGAGGAACCTATCCCGACTGGGAGATGTAGGTTTGAATGAGGTGCTGACAGGAAGTGTCATCTTGTCCAGATGGGCAAGTTCTCCAACATGGGGAAGCCCGATGAAGATGATGATGGAAATCGCAGCAGCGTACTCGGTTAACCCCATTCGAATGTATCGATGGAACAGGGGGCGCCAGCTTTCAGCCGTGGATAGGAATATCGCAAGCAGCATCGTTCCAACAGCTCCTATGATGGCGTAGAGGAACGCTGCAAAGGATAGGCTTTCGTGTGCTCTTTCAAGCTCTTGTATAGCTTTATGGAAGTAGATAATGCTGTTGAGAAGCGAGAATATCTCGGTTGCAAAAGTGGTAACGTAGCGCATCGTCCAATCATGAGCGTTGACTATAGCCAGGACGTAGTGGAGCCAGGCAGAATGGATCAGAGACCAGGCCATGAATGGCAAAAACGGTATCTGGGATCACTTGTAAGTCATTACTGGAACAACCTTCTTTTCAGGATCTTACCTCGAAGACATCCTCGCATAACGAATAGATGTTCTCAGCAAGGACTGAGAAAGGTCCAGTAACACCAAGGATAGTTAGCGGTTGGATTGAAAATCTGAGTAATATTGTCAGTCTAAGTTGCTGGAACCTCGATGTGGACAAGCCCTACAGTGAGAAGATGATGCCGCATAGGCCTGTACTAAACACAACCTCAATAGTCCCCCAATTCTGCCCAGTAAGAACATATAGATCACTGGCAAAGGTGATACCCGGCAGGAGGTTCGTAAAGAAGACATAGACCGCACTGGCAAAGATCAATTGATTGAAGACAGTCCAGTCGGACACGTATCTGCGGCGCAAGTTCAGAATGTCCTGCTTTATCAAACGAAAAGGCCGCAACGGCCCCCCTGACGACACAGAACCCCGTAGCACCCGGATGGCCCTGGGCGTATGCTTGGATGGCGTTATGATGGAATGTGCATCTTCATCTTCTTCGTCATCGTCCCGATCAACTTCCTGATTGTGTTGGACATCGCCACGTCTCGGGGACCTCCTCTGCCTACGGGGTCTACGCCGAAGAGAGGAGCTTCGCGTGGAGGGTGGTCGGAAGGCAGATATCAAGGGCATTGTTCAGTCATGGTAAAGAAAAGCCTCGCAATGGTGATCTGGAGGGGTTGAAAGTTGGTCTGGCGGGGAACCAGCGATGCCCGCCTTGGCCCTCATGACGTATCATATCCCGATAAGAGGCACTCTCCGAACCACACGTGTGAAGCCGACTTAAAGCAGACTACTTGACCGCCTTGACCAAACTATACCAGTGCAACACAGTCTTAGAGGTTGATGATGAGATATAAGCATGGAGAGAATCAAAGCATGGAATCACCCTTTGAGTAGAAGTCACTGTATAGTAAGTTTTGGATTCTGTCATTGTGATATCTGTAGTATAGCCCACGAACTCCAGAATTATTAATTCACGAAAAGTGATCATCAGAGAGGCGTGTTTTCATATCACTAAAGTTTGTCTACAGGCGTTTCTTTCCGCACTCTACTGGTGGTTGTTAGGAGGCATGTAGATAGGGAATGTAGATAGGCAGAGGCCCCAGTCCATCGGTACAATAACAGCAATCCGCCTTCTTCACCGCCTTTATCAGCAGACAGAATCTCTCCCGCGGAGGAATTTCCTCGCCTCCAATCCCAATCATTGGGCCATGCCCTCCAAACGGCAACAACTTCGCTCAGCTTCTTGATGATGCCAGCTGGATAGGAGATCAAGTCGCTAAAGACACCTAAAAACCCACAGCAACTTTATGGACCGATGACAATGGCAGCCAAGTTCATTCCGCGTCAGGTTTTCCCCAACTATGGGTCTATCCCGAGGTCCTATTTCCTGGGTCACCATAGGGCCGGGTTGAAGAAGATGCAGAACATGCTTTCTTCCATCGATTATGTAGTCGAGTGTCGCGATTACAGGGTCCCCGTCACCTCTATCAACCCTATGTTCGAAGAAGCACTGGGAAAGACACGACGGTTGACCGTCTATACAAAGCGAGATCTGGGTGCTGCATCGGGATCGAATGCGCAGAAATTGGTGAGTGGAATGTTCCAAGTCGAATGAAATATTCTATAGGCACGCGAGTGCTAATGTGATCTTTGCACGCTTAGGCGGAGAAAACCATTCGAACCTTCAACAAGAACGGCGCTACATTCTTCGTGAGTTCATCTTCTAGGGCAGATGTGGGCACAATCTTAAAACACTTGCGGGACGATGCAGAAGGACCGGACAAGCTTGTTGGATGCCGGGTGATGATTGTTGGCATGCCTAATGTGGGCAAGTCGACTCTCATCAATCACCTGCGTAATCAGGGTGTGGGCAAGGCCAAGGCGGTGCGGACCGGTGGCCAGCCAGGTATCACAAGGAAGATCGGAACACCCGTGAAGATCATCGAAAGAGAAGGTGGCTCCCATGTCTACGTATTGGACACCCCCGGTGTATTCATGCCATACGTGCCGGATGCAGAGAACATGCTTAAACTAGCTCTGTGTGGCTGTGTGAAGGATTCGGTTATCTCCCCGGTCACGCTAGCCGACTACCTATTATATCACATCAACCTGAATGACGCCGAGGTATATAAGCGATGGTCTGAGCCGACAAACGAGATCGTACCTCTATTGAACAACTTCGCCCGACATGCTGGTCTCCTGGCCAAGGGCGGTATCCCAAATATCGACCTGGCAGCACTGCACTTCATCCAAAAGTGGCGTGCCGGCGACCTGGGCAGATTTATGCTTGATGACCTGAAGGAGGAAGAACGCCGTCTGCAAGAAGGCGGAGAGCGAGAGATACCCACCAGCTATACCCAGGCCTTGAAGGCCGAGAAGCTGGGCAGAAAGCAACCCAAGCTGTAAATAAATAAAGAATCATGTAACATAGATATTTCTCCCATCCATTGTACAAAAGAACGAATCATGTTGGTATCATCAATGAGCTTTTGCCTCCCCTCAGATGCATAGTAGACTTGTTAGAACCGCAGAACGACGTAGGAGAGAGACGAGAATGAGACGAGAAATCATCGTAAACCCTAAACGCCCATGATAGAGACGAAAAAATGGAAAAACAAGAAAAAAAGTGAGATCCCCCGAGTCAGCGCATAGCGCAACAACACGAGGACAAACGCCCCAACAACCGCACAAGCTCATGAAATCTTATCCAACAACCTCCTCCTCCGTCGATCAACCAACTCCTCCTGAACCTCATCAAGTGTAGGCAACCTCCATTCAACTCCGTCGCCAGCATCACCAGGCAACGGCTCCCATCCATCCTCAACATCCTCATCCTTCCTGCGCAATCTCTCAACAGCCTCCTTCTCCTTCTGCCTCTCGTACGCCAAAAGCGTTCCATCCTCCTCATCCAACCCATACCCAAAGTAATTAGCATCGACCTTCTTCGTCGCAATCTCACCTCCTCTCCCCTTTCCACCTTCTTCATCCTCCTCCTCAGCCGGCCTCCTCCCGCGTCTCGCCGCCGCCTCAAACATCTCCTTCACACCCGGCAACTCTCTCGCTCGTCCAAAATACCGATACCCCTTCCCACCACCCGGTATCTCCCTCCCATCATCATCAAACACCCGTCCAGAACCTCGCATATAGTTCGGTCCGCCGAGGTTCCGGATCTGCATCTCCCACGTCCACTTCTCCTTCATAAGCTTGTTGATCTCATCGTTCAGATCGCGGATCTGGTAATCGCTTAGACTGAGCTCCTGGATCCGAGAAACTTTGCGTGAGATTTCCTTCAGCACTTGGCCGCGCCATTTCTCGCACATCGGGATAGAGTCAACGGTCGTGATGGCTTTCGGGCGGCGCGTGCGCCCAATGTCGATGATTCCGAGATCCGCGGCTTGTTGGGCCCGGAAACGGAAGAGCATCGATTGGGCTTTTTCGCTGTTACGCGCCTGGTCATTTTGTTAGTTTGTGGGGGTGGGTTCTGGTTGAGTCTGATGTTTATGTGTGGTTGAAGGGCGAAGGGAGAAGGCGAGGAGGAGGAATTTTGGGTATCGAGTTGAACAAGATTCGAGGAAACGGTTTGTTGCTGTATTTGAAGGGGCGACTTGAAGGGGGTTGAGTTGGTGATGAGGGCTTACCATTGTGAAGAGCGGCGCGGGGGATCCCCGTGGCTGATGGAGCTTGGTGGTTGAGAGGATTGAAGTGAAGAATGAGAGACTGGAACGCTGGCTCTCGCGCTCTCTCTTGATCCAAGCTCGGGTGGGTTCGTCCGCCCGTTGACAAGCGAGCGCTAACAGATGCAGCCGCGCGGCTACGGTACCCGTGGTTCTTGGCTGTCAGTCTACCGAGTTTATTGTCTCCCTTGCTGCCAATAGTGCAGTGCAAGGTTGTTTTGAGTTGTGGTGGCTTACAGCTTACATGGGAAGTTAATTTTGATTTCATAATCATGTCAGATAGTAGTTTATCCGAAAGGCTGGCAATATTGCGAATGGAGGGTTGTGTATAGCACGTTTTCTGGTACTAGTGTCTATTGTATATTTATGAATCGCTTCAGCAATGATGAAATCGAGGTATAATTGGTGAACAACCACATAAAACAATAACAGAGACTGGGATGCACACGGCTATCCGTTGCATATCGTCAACATGCACCATGAAGCATTAAAACAGATCATATAGCATAGTACACATCAAAATCATTCAAAAGCATAATCCAAGCGCCGCCTTCCGTCAACACTCCGTAGCCATGCAGGGCTGCCATCAAGTCATAGTCGTAATTGGTCGCTCAGGCCCTAAATGAATGTTTAGCGCCTGAGTGTAGTTAGAGCAATGTGCTCCGCAGGGTCAACCTGCTGAGCAGTCATAGTCTTACAAGAAGCCTTTAGTGTTGCTAGGCATCCGCTGCGGTATATCGCCTGCTCCGTACACGCTGCTCCCTCTCCTGCTTCCGGCGTCACTGAAAGCGCCGACGTGGCTACGTCCGAGGACACTGCCCCTCTCAACACGGAGCGCTCGCCATCCCTCTAGTTCACGCTCCAACCTGAGAGACTTCTCCCGCTCTTCCCGGAGTTCTCGCTCTGCTCGGCGCACTTGCAGCTGCGTCTCTGAGTCGGCATGCTGAAGCTCCTCAATGTTCCGAAGAAGCCGCTCGATCTTGTCGCGGGCTTTGCTAACGTCGTCATTCAGCTGGGAGTTCATCTTGTCACGGCGCTCAATCTGGGACTGCAGGTCTTTGACCGTGCGGTCAACGTTCCGCAACGAACGCTGCTCAGAACTATGCTTGGCTTCCTGGTCTTCAAGATGGGTCTCCAGCTATTTTCAATGTAGTTAGTATTTGCAGGGCATTTGATTCATCATTTTCATGGGGTAACTTACTTCCTTGATTCTCTTGTGTAAGAACCGGACGTCCTGGCTTCCTGATGAGTAGCTCTTGGTCTCCAGATCCACGCAACGAAGTTGAGACTCCTTCAGCTGCTTCTCGAGAGCCGCCTTGTCCTTGAAGAGCTGGGCATTTGTTTCTCTCTCAGCGGTAACTTCCTTCTGCATCTCCGTCGCCAGTGCTTCCGCCCGCCTCATCTTACCGACTGCAGCTGCGGAAACATCTTCCTGTTGAGCAAGCTTGGACTTCAGTTCCAACAACTCACGGTCCATGCTGGCAGCATTGCGCATCGATGGACTCTCGCCCTTGGCAAGGTCCTCCAACCTTTCGCCTGCTTCAGCTAACCGGGTTTCCAGCATCTTTTTCTCCTTCAGCAGCATATCACGCTCCGCGGTCACGTCGTCGACGGAGGTGCGAAGAGTTCTCACCTGCGACAGGAGGGAGACAACCCTGCTCTGAGCTTCATTATGAGCATTGACTGCCTCGTCGCGAGATGTGGTCACGTCTTGAAGCATGATGTCCATTCGAGCCTTCTCCTTAGCCCAAGTAGAGCTGTTCAGGACTTCATTGTCCCACTTGCTGCGCAAGTCTTCAAGTTCTTCACGGAGACGTGAGTTCTCACCGCGAACGTTAAGAACCTTTTCACGCTCCATCTCCAACTCGTTGTTGAGTGTTGTGAACTCGCGCTGATACTTCTGCCTGGTCTGTTCCATTGATGTCTCCTTGTCTTCAATATCAATGGCACGTTGGTTTCTGTAGTCTTCAAGCTCGTTCTGGAGGCGCTGTTTGGCCTGGAGAGCGCCTTGGAGCTCAGCTGCTTGATCCTCCATCCTGGCCTCGAGCGACTGGGTCTGGCGTTGCAAGTCTTCAACCAGGGCATCCATTTGTTTGCGCTCAGACATTATCTGGGCACAGGTATCCTCGGCCTCCTTGGCCTGAGATTTGGCGAATTGCTCTGCTCTGGTAGCCTTCAGAACTGCAATCTCAGCTTGTTCCAATTTGCTGAAATACTCATCGGCACGGGTCTTGTACAAGCTCCTACTGGAAGCTAGATCGGCTGACTTCGATGTCTCCGCATCAAGACGAATCTGAAGGTCAGCAAACTCCTGGAGAAGCTGATCTCGGCTTGCAGCATCCTGGTCCCTTGCAACCTGCAGCTCCTGGAACTCAGAACGAGTGTCACGGAGTTCTACTTCCAGGGTAGCCTTAGCTCTCTTAAGCTTTTCGAATTGAGCTTTGGCGTCGCTGAACTCTGCAATGGCTTCGTTATGCACCTTGAGCAAAGACCTTCTGGACTGCTCCTGCGAGTTAATCAGGTCGTACAGCTCTTCATGCGACTTGGCTTGGACGTCCCGTAGGGAAAGATCGCCTGACCGGATGTTCTTCTCCAGAGCGGAAACCTTCTTTGAGGAGTCATCGAGCTGCTCGTGCAGACGTCCGTTCTCACGCTCAAGCAGCTGCATGCGTCGCAGAGAAGGGCTTTCTTCCTGCCACATGTCTCGACCAGGTGCCGCTTGAGAAAGTTGGTTCTGGAGATGCTTGTTCTGCATCTCGCTCATTTGAAGCTTGTTTTGGAGCTCCTCAATCTCGGTCGCCAGATCCATCCGCTTTTGGTAGCCAACCGTATCCACGGTCCTGTCGGACCGAGCAGAGTCATTGGCCGTTTCGTTGAAGTTAAGTCTCCGGTTCGGCGTTGTAGGAGTGCCGAACTTCTTTGCCAGAACATTATCCGAGTTCTTTCTGAGATGGGTTGGGGTCCGGGGGCTAGCCACCTGGTTTTGGTCGATTTCCTCCAGCAAGGCGCGTTTAGATGAGGCGTAACGTGCATCCAGCTCCTTCATCTCATCCCCATGCCGACGGCGCATTTCCGCCAGTTGGGCCTCAGCTCGACTATACTTCTCCTCGGTAACTTGCAATCTACTCTGTGTCGTCTGCAGCATTTGTGCCAGATCAACCTTCTTAGCCAGGCTAGGCTGAACCTTCTCCCAGGATTCCGAGTCATCAGACTCGGGCTCCACTACCTTGTGCAGCAACATTAATTGCCGGTGTAGATCCTCGACCTCCTTGTTTGCTGTATCCAGAGAACCTTGAAGCTTGCGCGTATTTGCTTGTGCCTGGGTCCGGAGCTGTCTTTCGGTCTCGAGGTTCCTGTTTGCCTCTGCCAACTGAATGTTGGCAGTGGAGGCAGCCTTTTCAGCATTCCGACTGGCCTTGTGTTCCCTAGCAACCTCGTGGTTGAGGTCCTCGAGGCTCAAAGAGAGCTTCTCTTTCTGCTTCTCCAGAGAAGTGATGCTGACTTGAAGGTCGCCAAGCTGACGGCTTATCTTCTTGTTGTCTTCTTCGAGCTTCGTCTTCTCTTTCTGAAGAGCAGTTATGCGTAGGCGCGAGTTGTCGCTGGCCCTGGAAGTCGATCGGGCTATGTCGAGATTCTTTTGTTGGATCTTTGTGAGAAGAGCTCGGTTATCGTTCTCCGAAGCTGTGAGTCTACCCTTGAGCGTCACTAGTTCCCTCTCCAGGCGTTCCTTGTGCTGATCATGGCGGATGCGGAAATTATCTGATTCAGCGATAGCGTGGGTCAATTCTTGGATTCTGGTGGAGAGACGTGACCTTTCAGCTTCTACCTCCTCTAGCTGACGTGTCTTATCGTCCAAATCCTTCCGCACACTCTCAAGGCGCTCGTTGGCCTGCTTCATGATGTTGCGTTCAATGTCGGCCTCTGCGTTTAGACGCGCGTCTTCGACCTTCGTGAAGCGGTCCCGCAGCTGAATCAACTCAGTTTGGAGCTCCTTGCGTGACTGCTCAGCAGCAACGCGGGCTTCAGTGGCACGACGAAGCGTGTCCTGCTGGATGTACATCTCCTTTTCGATGATAATCTTCGATTCATTCAAGGAAGTGTACTTGTCCTTGAGCTCCGCAAGATTATGCTCGGCAAGCATTTGCACATCGTCACGCGATTGACGCTCCCGGCTCAGATCTGCTTGTGCCTTGAATAGTTGATTCTTCAGTTCCTGGATTTGCTGCTCGAGAAGCTTTCGGCTTTCGCCAGCCTCGGCATCCTCAGAGATCTTTGCCTCCAGGAGCTTCTTGACATCGGCCGCCTCTCGCTCAAGCTGAACCTTCTCTGACTTCATCGCGTCCACCTCAGCTTGCAGTTCTCGCAGGCGTTCCTGCATGCTTCCGTGTCGTGTGGTAAGCGAAATCTTCTCCGACTCTAGGTATCGCTTCTCCTCTTCATGCTTCTTAGCATCATTTCGCAGGACAGCCATTTCGCTTTCCTTCCGCCTAAGCATCTCTTCGTAGCCTGTGGATGTCGAGGAGAGGTCGGTGATCTGTTGTCTTATTACACGGTTTTCTTCAATGAGCTCTTTGATGTGCTTCTTGGACTGATCTAGGTCTCTCGAAGTCTGGGAGAGCTTAACTTCAAGATCTTGATCGGTCTTCAACAGCTTAGTCTCTAGATCTTGCAGTTTGCGCTCCTTTAAGCTGAGATGACTCTGCAGCATCTTCATCTCTTGGCCCAGGTCCTTAATCCTGGACTCCTTCTCGACAGAAGAGTTTTCGGCCTCGGCAAGCTTCTTCTCGAGTTCCTCCAGACGTGCCTGCATCTCATGCTTTTCGTTCTCAAAGCGCTGGATGATCTCTCCTGCTTGTTCCAGTTGAGTTATCCGGAGCTCAAGCTCGTCATCCGTTCTTTTCTTAGCAGCTATTAGGTCGTCTAGTTGGTCTTCGAGGTTCTCCTGGTCTGCGATAGCACCGGCCAACTTCTCACTAAGTTCAACTTCTCGGACTTGGAGCCTCTTGAATATTTCCTCCTTATCAAGAGCCAAGGCACGCTCACTCTC